AACAGGATGGCAGAATACTAGATGAAGGACAGCCATGCGAGCAAGCAGGGTTTCGAAGAGGGTTCAGCACGATCGACCATATCCACACGGTTACAAGACTCATTGAAGTTTCACGAGAGTACAAGATGCCGCTTTGTCTCACGTTCATCGACTTGAAGAAGGCCTTCGACTCTGTGGAGACAGAAGCGGTCATCGAAGCCTTGGGCAACCAGGGCGTCCCTACTCAGTACATCAAGATTCTTCGTGAGCTCTACAGCAACTTTACGACCAGTAATCTCACCATTGGCTTACAAGGGAGTTTTCCATACAGCGTCGAAGAGCGGTTGCGGGTCTGACAGGGGACACCATCTCGCCCAAACTCTTCAGCGCCGCTCTCGAGAACGTCATGCGTCAACTGGAATGGGAAGACATGGGAGTGAAGGTCGACGGCCGGCAACTACACCACCTTCGTTTTGCTGACGACATCGTTCTTATAACGCCGAACATCGAGCAAGCGGAGCGAATGCTGGCTGATTTCGACTGCGCCTGTGGTAAGGTTGGTCTGCAGCTGAACCTAACGAAGACGATGTTTATGAGAAACGGATTGGTTCCTGATGCCCCATTCACGCTCAACGGAACGAACATCACCGAATGCTCCAGCTACGTGTACCTAGGTCGGGAAATCAATATGATGAACGATCTAGCTCCAGAGCTGAGCAGGAGGAAACGAGCGGCTTGGGGAGCGTATAAGAACATCGAGGGAGTAGTGAAGAAGACGAAGAACATCCGGCTCCGTGCCCACCTCTTCGATTCCGCTGTCCTTCCTGCCCTAACCTACGCCTCAGAGACTTGGACTCTGCGCAGGCAGGACGAGCATGCGGTCAGCGTTATCCAACGCGCTGTCGAGAGGACGATGCTAGGAGTAACCCTATACACGCAAGTGCAGAGGGGAATCCGGAGTTCGGAACTACGCCAACGATCGAAGATCAGGGACGCTGCCGTTTTCGCCAAGGAATCGAAGATAAGGTGGGCCGGACACGTCATGCGATTTTGCGATGACCGTTGGACCAGAGCGGTTACCGACTGGATCCCTCGGGAACGAACACCTGGACGACCGCCGGCCCGATGGTCAGACTTCTTCACGAAAGCTCTGAACGAAAGGAATGAACGGACTTCGTGTCCCTCGAGCGAAGGAGGATCCACTGGACCACTCTAGCACGCGACAGGGACGAATGGAGACGTTGCTGGCGCCCGCTCGAGCAATCGACGATCAACGGGACGACAGGTGATACAGGTGGTTACCGACGACATCGAGATAAGCTATTTGGACGGAGCGAGCACCCGAAGTAAGGCGTGGATTACATTGTTATGCTGTAGTCACGTACAATGCGCGACGCATTGACGCGTTGAAACGTGTGCTCGCCCTCGTTTTCTCTGCGCTCTCAACGAAGAGAGAACGCGTCGAGCAAACTCGCCAACTGTACTGAGCGCCGTTCATACAGGAGGTGGACTGAGGACATACGCTCGCGCAGCGCTCAGGCTCCCCGCCCGCGCGGCGGAGAGTACGATGTGACGCTCGACTGTGTTTGGATGCTGCCCTGGACCGCAGAAGTAGCCTCGTTGTTGGCATGACCTTCAGAATGGTTACCGCAGAAAGCGCGTCGATGCGAGCGCAATGTACGTGACTTACGGATTCACGCCATTACTGTCGGGCGCTCGTTCCGTCGAAGGCTTATCTCAACGAACAATCAGACCGATTTTTACGGAAACATGGTTACGACATGGACATGGACATAGACAACATGGAAACGATACGAGCTCAACGAGGTCGTTGAGGTACCATAGACCATTACGACGTCCTGAAACGCTGGTCAAAAGCGGTCTTGCATATTCACAGCTAGTGTCTCTGAGAAGCTAATTCACAGTTAATCTATTGAAGAAATTATGTAGCAGCTTCAGGCGGAGCGATTACCGGTAATCCTCGTCGAGCTCGACTGTGATAGCAGATGACGTCATATTCTCAGGAAGATAGGGCAGTGATGGAAGGCTTCCTGCTTCTGGGGACGCTAAGGAATAGTTTCTCCGTGTAACATCGCTCAAAACGGCGTCTGTGCTACAAAAAAATTTGATGATGTGCACCATGGGCGGAGTGACCCTTTTTTGCCCTCCCCCGTACTCTCGGCATGCATCTTTTTACATGGAAATGAAAAATGTCAAATTGGCAATCCTAGAACTTCTTTGCATTTCAATGTCTTTGCGACCCTAAAATAATCACACGTTTGCATCACTACATTGCGACCACACACAATGCAGTGCCGCCACACCATTTTTTCGCTTTGAAGCAGAAAAATGCCGAACGAATTAAGCAAAACTTTTGCTTCATGTGGAAAATCTCGCACTTTGGTGGTTTGGACGGCCATCAATTGCTCGCGTAGAATAATTTGTTCCGTTCCATCTTATAAGATTTTTGTAACAAGCCGACCATTACCACAGCTCAACACTTTAAGAATGATATAAGGCGATGAAGAGAAGCCGCCTTAAATAAGCCACTTTGCCATTGACTATTATTTATGGACTCGAGGATAAGGAAAGGTAAACAGGAGAAAGCGGTAGTGATAACCTTTGAGAGATATGTGCACGTATATAAGGGGCATCGTTCATTCTGAAACTCACTTGCCGAGTTTGCTGATTCAGCCATGGGTGCAGGCGGTTCAAAAGGACCTGAAGGAGCTCAAGAAGAAGCTGCGGTAGTGTTAATTTCTTCCGCACATCATATGAATAAGCACGGTAATCCCCTCGTTTAGAAGCCGACATCGGATTCCGCCTCATCTGCGTCGTCAGACGTACGTCTAGAACAATACTAAGCAAAACTAACCAGTTTAGGCAGCTCAATACAGTGTTTCAGAAGAAAGATGAAACAACTTCTCCATCAGCGCCAACTACATCTCCACCGCCAAAGGAATCGCCTGCCGAGCCACCACCAGGAGTTGAGCCAACTCCCACAGGTTCTGCTACAAGTGCCAGAGGACCTGCTCCAGACAAGAAAGGTACTGCAGAAGAAGCTCCTAAAAGCGGCGCCCAAGCTGTAGATGCTAAAGGACCTGCCCCAGATACGAAAGGTACTGCAGAAGCCGCTCCCAAAAAGCGGAACGCAAGCTGTAGATGCTAAAGTACCTGCTCCAGAAACGAAAGGTTACTGCAGAGGCGTTCTCAAAGCGGTGCAGCGCCAGTGAAGTGGTACGCAGAGAAAGACGTGATCACGGCATTATCAATTAAAGATAAACTGGTGGTAAAGGGGAGCCAGTACCGGTAAAGAAAGAAGAACCGGCTCCTGCCAAGCCTGAGCCAGAGCCGAAAAAGAAAAGAAGCTCTTCCCAAGAAAGAGGAGCCGGCTCCAGAGAAGAAAAAACCGTCCAAAGAAAAAGCGGAAGCACCCCAAAAAGAGAAGGAGGAGGCTCCTCCTAAAAAAGCAGAACCAGAAAAAAAGAAAACCTCCAAAGAAAAAGTGGAAGCACCGAAAAAAGAGAAGAAAGAAGAACCTTCTGCAGAAGCTAAAAAATCTGAAAACAAAAAATCAGCAGAGCCAGGAACTGGTACTGATAAGAAAAGTGCTGCTAGTGAGGAGAAAAAAGGTTCCAAGGAAAAGGTACAGGCTGCGAGGAAGTCGTCGAGTTCCGAGTTGAAGAAAGCTTCACCGAAGAAAGCAGTAGCGCCAAAAGCAGAAAAGAAGCCTAAGAAGTCAAATCAATGAAAAGGTTAGCGTAAATATATGGTAAGGTAATGGAGAGAAGGAAGCGATTACGATAAGGAATTTTCGCATCGGGGAGAACCTGCGCCACACGGAGCAATTACTTGGCTGCCAAGGAAGCGATGTGTGGTCCTCCCACGGCGAAAGGTGCTGTGGTTGCTGAGCAGGACCCGCGTGACGCCCCGCCCCCAGTGACGTAACGCCCACTAGTTTTGTTGATGATCTGGATGGACTGTTTGCTGTTGGCTTTTCATTTTGGATGATCATTTCCCTTCTAGCGGCTGTATCTTCCAACTTGCCCACGTATTGCCTTATCAATCAAAACACTATGCTTGTTGGCATGATGGCGGCTATCGGGGTTAACACGTCCGAACAACGTCGTTCTTTACCGTCGCTCATCCATGGTCGAAAATGAAAGGGCAATCAAAGGGGTACTATTTTGCTTATTTTTGACGGATTTCTTTGCTTTTTTCGCCATTGGCGTACTATTGAGACCCCCACGTCCCTCTAAACCCCTTTGAGATCTATCGTAATCGCTCCTTTTAATCGGCCTTTCATTTTGGGCGACGATTTTGGATGAGAAGCGATTACGACGATAGATCTAAAAGGCATTTAGGGGGTCTCAATAGTACGCCAATGGAGGAAAAAAGCAAAAGAAATCCGTCGAAAATGCAAGCAAAATGGTACCCCTTTGATTGCCCTTTCATTTTCGACCATGGATGAGCGACGGTAAAGAATGACGTTGTTCGGACGTGTTAACCCCGATAGCCGCCATCATGCCAACAAGCATAGTGTTTTGATTGATAAGGCATAACATGGGCAAGATGGAAGATACAGCCGCTAGATGGAAAAAGATCATCCCAAAATGAAAAGCCAACAGCAAACAGCTCACCATCAGTTCATCAAGTGAAGTCATCAAGTGAACAAGTGGGCGTAACGCTTTTGGGGCAGAGTACTTCGAAACTCTTGGCAACCACGGTACCTTTCGCCGTGAAAGCGCCACATTCCGCATTCCGCCTTCCTTGACAGTCAAGCAACTGCTTCGTATGGCACATATGCTTCCCCAACGCGGCCTTTCTTTACCGTAATGGCTTCCTTTGATGGAATTTCAGATGAACAGATTGGTCCTAGGCGAACCGCACAACCTCTCTTCCCTGCGTGATCTTTCTTTCGCTGTGTTCCCTCCCACCTGTAGAACCAAAACTTCTTGGGGGTGATGCGAATGCACAAAACGGTGTTTCACATTTCACAGGGCATCACAGCAATCATGCCATGAGGCTTTGTGACCCTCTACGCATTGTTTCTTAGCTTTTTTGAGGAATGTTGTTTCTTCCTGCTCCATACTCCCTCCTCCCTTGTCTCCCTTCCACTGCTGCTCAGCTGCCATGACGAATAACCGAGAATTTGCTAAGTAAGAGTTTATATAGCCGTTAGGAGGTGTTAACACAATCATGTCATTGCAAAACATTGATGGCGCAAGTCCTGCGAGCTGCCCAGATTAAGTCCTGCGATCTAACCAGATTCGTGTAGGGCGGTGGATTCTATTAGCTGCCATCACTCTCTTCATTTTGCGGACGGACAAACAGACAGACTCACACACATACACACAAAAAAACCGACACACAAAGGTTGTGGTTCATATAATGAAGTGGAAGTGGTAATTTCCTTAGTTTTTTAGAAGACAAAAACCAATAAGAAGAAATGACGTTGTGTGTACCCGTCAAAAAGCTGGCAAAGGTTGGATTGTAACGTTTTAAGCAGATCATTGCTTCCAATTTACTCTGAATTTGCAGGGGCACAAGAATGTTTCATGAAATCAAAGCAATCGATACTCGTTTTCCAGTTGGTTGATGTAATCTTTTCTTGTTTCGGTTAATTCTGCACGTTTCATGTCTAAATTTCCTGCCCATGATTTGTAACATGTGTTTCCCGATATCGGTACACAAATTACTTGTGCAGTTCGTCTAATAAACGTTCAGACATCATGAGTTTTAGAACTGTTGATATTTGCGAATCAAATCAAATCCATACGTCTGAGCAAGCCACTGGCCAGAACGAATGCTGTTGTGAGGGGGAGAGGAAAGGGAAGGAAGGTAACGTGCTGCAGTCACTCTGTCCTGTCTTGTTCACCGTAGTTCGAAAGCATGACCAGGGTCACATTGGTGTGGCTCTTGCACACGAATGCGAATGTATTGGAGATAAGGGCGACAGCAAAGAAGAAAGGAAAAGAATCCGTCCAAAAAGTTCAGGCTAAAGACTCGCTCACGCATTTCTAACATCTGCTGCGTGTGTGTGTCCGTTTGTCACGAGATTCATAGAGTAATGATAGCGCAGTCGGTTCTTACATATGTTATAGCGGGTGGATGGGACACAAGTGGTACGTGATAGGAACTGATAACGACTGATAATAGCTGATAAGAGGGGCTAGAAAGCGAGCATCGCCAATTTTTTGTCGTTCATATTGGTACTAGAGCGTCTATACTTACAAATTATGTGGGTGGTCCGGGCAGGGTCAACCCTACGTTGTTACGAGTAACAACGGGGGGTCGTACTCAGTTGAGCTTGGAGGGGGGGGGGTCGTACCCTCTCGGTGGCCGACAGTGGGATTCTTGGTAATATCGGATAATAGCCAGCACGTTACGTTTTCGTAAGATGACTGATACAGCATCTATAAACCACGATTCCCTCTAAATGAGCTTTCAAATGAATCAGCGAATTAGAAGGGCGCCCGAGGCGTGGCGCGCACCAAGGCAAGGGATGTAGTGCAAGCGCATGCTCGGAGCTTTCTAGCACATCCTAATTAAACATAAATTGGTCTTCCAAGAAGTTACGGGCAGTGAAACCTAAGAAAACTCGCGTTTTCGAGAAAATGGCTTGAAGAATACCCCTCAAAATAAAAAGTAACAACGGGACTAATTTTTGAAATGCTGAATCTCGTAGTAACGCATGCCCAAAAACGCTAACAACGAGACTAATTCTATTCTCTAGTCTGATCTTTTCGTTAGAAAGCATTGAATCTGTAGTTTGTCATAACGGTGTTAAGCTTCCCAAATGAATGAATGGAATAACGGATCAAAAAGTCGCTTTGCACAGAAAAAAGTAACAACGTACAAAATTTTTACTAAATTGACTTCCGAAGAATTTTTACCCATGGTTGGATAGAAAATAATTTGAATTTTCCAAATCAAATCACTTCGGCGCAGAAGCTCGAATATGAAGGAAGTTATAGCCTTAGAAAGAGGGGTGTAAAAATTGTGTTGCAATTGAAGAACGTGAAGGATTTCAGTATTTCAATTGGAGCGATAATTTTTTCTGACTTCTCATAAGTTTTTATCAGGTAATTTGTCAATATTCCGGTCACTGGTTCAGTTTATTTCATCTCCTAGTTTGGTAACCCTTTGGAGTACACGGATATCTTTGAATGCATCTCATTTTTTCGTGTTTGGAAGCAGCGATGAATATCTGTCGTGGATTTTGCTAAAGTTTCATCTTTGATGACTTACGTAGAAATAAATATTGATGGTAAACACTGTCTCTACACAAGTGTCACATACAAGGGGGTCGTATCAAATCACCCATGAAGGGGGGGGGGTCGTAAAAAATTTCCAAAGAGTAACAACGATAGGGTTGACCCTGGTTCCCGGGAACCTTTGGTGGTCACATGACTAAAAAGCGATTAGACTCTGATAAGGGCTGATAAGGGCGTCAGAACGCAAAAGTCGTCAATTCCGTTACCAAGCTTGCGTTGACACCAGAGCGTCCATACTGACAAGTGTTATGTGGGGACGGGAACATTGTTGGTGGGTGATTGAAAGTGATTGCAACTGATAAGGGATAAGGGCGTCAATCTGCAAAAGTCGCCAATTGCGTCACGTAACTCGCGTTGTCATTGTCATCAGCGTCCCTACTTACGAATTCTACTTTGTAGTGGTACGTGCATTGTATCGATATGAGATTACTTGATAGAAGTCGATTGCATAAAGTCAAACAAGTCAAATGATAAGTTTTGATTTCTAAAGCAATATCAAGAAAGCCCAAACTCATTGAACCGCTAATCCTTTCGGGGTTCTAAATAATGGTGAATGTAAATAAATGATAAGCATTAATTCCTCACTTATGTAAATAGGCATATTTCGTTTTCATTTTGAGACTGACAGCAGCAAATCCTATTCACCGCTAAATTATCTGAATTCAAGAAGAATGCTGGATGTTTACAGTTGTGAGATATTATATATGTACACCAATTCAGTTCCAGACGTTATCACGCATATTCTCGATGGACTTCAGCGAATTTGGGAAAGGTCTACACACATTCAATAGTGAGGTGGTTAATGGAGGACTCATGCTGATATTCCATGGGTCCTCCAGTTTCGCTAAGACCGTCGGTGTGATACGCGCGATAGACGGACTGGCAAAAACTGTAATAAATTAAACTTCGAAAGCACCTATAGCCAGCCCGGCATGGACGATCGCAATCGCTCCAGCGCCGCATGAGCGCGTTTTGACGCCGAAACACTTTGGCGCCAATCCGGGTCTGATACTCAAGAATGCGAAAAATCTGCTGTGAAGGTAAACCTGCGAGACTACCCACTTGACCACTGAGGTCGCTGAAAAAATCAGATTGACGACGTCGCTTATATAAGCTTAACACATCAGCACTACCACTGACAGCACTTTTCGCTTAAGACCGTCGTGTTGTTGGCTCGCGATACGCGCGCTGCCGGCAAACACTGTAAATAAATAAACTTCGAAAGCCCCACCCTATACCAGCCGGCGACGTGGAGCGAGCGTTCCACATGGACTGAAAAGAGGTGGTTTAAGTGGGTGGAGGAGCGAGGCAACTGTATCGGTGGAAGTGGGCGTGGTCAAGAGGCGAAGTCCTGAAGACGAGAGAGTGCGCGAATGAAGGGAACGCGAATAACTTCGTCGTAGCAGAGGATACATGGTTGAAAGATGATGGAGCGGATAGAATTTAGCTGAGAATTCAGATATTCGTGGTGTATCAAGCCAAATTTGAAAATTTTCGTCGCACCATCAAAATTCGCCGCAGATCTGTGTTGTGCGCGCAATGCGTGCGGCGCCAACTGGTAAAAAATTGGTGGCCCTGATTCATATCATTGCACTGCTGTGTGGCGTACGTGAATGCTTGTGCAGCCGGACTAATATAAATGCAGGAGTGGCTAAAAAAAGAGACACTTTGCCCATGGCGCACATCATCAAACTTTTCGTCGCACAGGGTGCCGCTGTTGATGAAAGTTTTACGGCAAAATATCCCTTAGATGTCCTCCCATAAGTAGAAGCAGGCCCTCCTCCACTGCCCTCACCGTCCTCAAAATATGACGTCATCTTCCATCACCGTTTAGCTCAAGAAGGCCTATGATAATCGTTCCAGCCTGAAGCTGCTACGAAATTTCTTTAATCGGTTACTGATAGATTGCTTCCTAGGAACAGTAGCTCTGAATGTGCAGACCCCTTCCGACCAGCTTTTCAGATAACGTCGCAATGGTCCATGAGTCGAGGACCACGTTGAGCTCGAACCGTGCACAAGGTTCCCATGGCAAATTCTTGTGATGTCGTTGGTGCAGAAAGCTGTTGTACGTTTGTTGATAGATTGGGATGTGCTCTTCAATATTATGGAGGCAGTCGATTTGAGTATTGCAAAGTGTGATTAATGCTGTCTTGTGGAGTGAAGTGTCTCTTTTTTCGGCCACCCTTGTATATGCGTATATATGATACCTGTCGTGGTTCGGGAGCGGTTGCCCTCCTAACCCTCCAACACGACGCATCGAGGTGGTTCGGGGCCCTCGTGGCCTTTCCCAGGCACACGTCGTCCTACGGGTCCTTCCCGGGGACCATGCTGGTTTCCCGCAGCATGGCCTCCGCTCCCCGGGGCATCACGGGTTCCTAACCCAGGAAAGGGGGTTTAAGGGTCGCGGTAAGCGGTAACCCGCGGGGGCAAGGCCCACCGTCGGCCCGGGCTTTCCCAGCCCAAGGGCCGAGGGCTCCCTTGCCCCGGCTACAACCCCACAACATAACAGCACAAGAAAAGCCTACTGCGCCTTAGTCGGGCCCCTGCCCTGGCGCTCCCCAAACTACAACCCTACTACAACAACTACAATTAAAACTTACATTTATTGGCGGATATTGGCGGCAACAAGTTGACGACCTACTCTTCTCATCCTCTGCCGGGCTTGGAGGTACCAAGCCATCGCGTCGTCCATCCATCGGGTCGTCGGCGGTAAGTGGCGCACTGCTGGCGCCTGCAGCCGGCAGCGTCCATCCGGTGTAGCGGACGCTGGCTTGCCAGCGCTCCGACAGGACGGGACAGTATGCCGGACCATACTGCCGAGTGCCAGTGGCACTCCGAGCCGTCCAGCTTCCTAGCGTTGCCCGGCACAACGCTCCTCCCGGAGGGAGCGAAGTGCGCCGACTGGCAGAGGCGGCTCGCTTAAGTAGTCCCGGCTGGAGGCGGGACCGGAGGCGGAGCATGCCCCTATAGTCGGTGCGTGCAACGCCACGGCGCCTGCTGCACAGCAGTGCCCAAGCGCGCGGTGCGCCCGGGACCACAGTCGCGAACCGCGACAAGCGCACCCGTTGGAGACGTTGTTGCGCG